TAGGGAAAATCCTTGATCTTGTCTCAACAAATTAAGCTTGACAAAATGGAAGAAGAGTAGTGGAAGAATGATAGAGCCCGGCAAGTGGCAGACAAGGGACTTTCTGAACTGCAGTTGTAGACAAATTTGTATGTATACTAGAGGATACAAAGAAGATGTTGCATATGGTGTTTCTTGCAGTATATAAGGTGGTGCTATTGGTGGCCGTGGGGTTGGGTTTGGTTGATGTGGTGGGGTTGGGTTGGGTGAAAATTATTATTATTATATAATAAAAATATTGCCCTTTGCTTTGGAAGAATAGATTCAGAATGAAACATATTGGTTAGTGTTCAGTTTACCTTTCAAACACAAGAGCAGACAGTAGAAAGAGTGGGGATTCTATGTAAATATGACACGTGGGCCAGTAAGGCTTTTTCTAGGGGGTTGTAACACACTAATACTTGTCCAAAACCCACTAACAGAAAATCTCAATTATCAATTAATGTTGCTGATTATCACAATACTTTCATGTGCTAATTTATCTCATTTCTCTTTCTTTGTAGTTTTGGATTGGCCGACATTGAATTGCTTCTGATTACTACCGACCTTTCACCTTTGATTAAGGTGTCTTGTGGCCCATATATGATTAGGTGATCATAATCTACTGCATGTGGATTTGTATCGTGAGGTACCGTAATATGTTGACAAGTATTTTAGAATTATGAGGTTAAGATCAATGTATTGTCAGGATTTTTCTTTATATTATCTCCATTCATTCGATCTTGTCTTTAAGCCAAAAGGTAGGATGTCTCAATTGCAAGGAAACAAAAGTAACTGTAGTTTGTGTGACGTTTGAACTTTGAAGTATTTGATGGAAGGGAATGAAGCACAAAAAACTTCTGGCTTTTGAATGGAGAAATTCCAAAGCAATGTAAACTCTTGAGAGCTCTCGGTTAATTTAACATGTGAAAGAGGGTCATTATCTGTGAGCACTGGTCCCGTATGAATATCTTACAAGAATCTTTCTCCAGCGATAATGGGTGGGATAACTAAACCCACTTGCTGGTCTTCAAAGGCAGTGCCAAAAGAGAAGAACAATTTGGTTAAAAAGCCAAAAATATGCTAGCTAAAAATAGGACTTCTTCTTCAGAGTCTTGGAAGAAAGCATTGGCACAAAATATAGATCATAATTTGGATTTGATACCCCTAGAACAAGAAAGAAAGATTTGTATACAATTTGGAATTAGGAAGGAAATTAACATGCATTGATGCTACACAAGGTTTAACATAGTCGCAATTTCATCGTAATCCTTGATATTGTGGGAAATTATTATAAATATAGCTTATGGTAACTCTAAAAGTCTTGAAATTGCAATTGATATTGTCGAAAATTATCGTAAATATGATTTGTGGTGACTCCAAAAGTCTTGATGTTATGATTGAAATAATAGTTGACTTTTTCTTCTTTTTTTTTTCTCTAAAAACCTTACAACTACACTATGCAATGATTCATGTTGATCACTTTTGGATATGTTGTTTGTGACCTTTGATCTATAATAAAAGTTTAACCATTGTTATATAAGGCATTTCATGCTTGTATGTAAGTAGTTAATTATGCTAATTTTTTTGTACATCTCTTACACTTCTGACTTGGACATGGAAATATTTATACAAATGTATGTAGGTTATGTTTTTTTTTTTTTTTTTTATATCAGAGATCATTATTGTTAGAACCTTTTCGACCGCCTGAAGCATACACCACATTTAAAGATATAAAAATACCCCAAACACTTCATAAGTATTATTTTAATCATTAATGCAATTATGCAAATATGGAAGTGGGGTTGAGGCAAACTGTTTGCTTCTTATGGTGGCGCCTATTGTCTATAGAGAAGCCCCACCTCTCGTGGGAAGCATGTTCTCCCGGTATACAAATACAAGGTACAAGGATGTCAATGTTGGCACTCTCACCACGTGGAATAATTAAGGAGTGGTTTTCTTTCAAGGTTCCTATGAATATGATTAGCAATATGAACCATCCCAAATCTTGTTTGTTTGATAAGGATTGCTGTGTGGATCATTGAGTATGGGTTAGTTATGTAAGGTTTCACCATGAATCATGATCCTCATGAAAATACACCTGCAAAAAGTTCCAAGGATGTTGAGAACTCATTGCCAAATCTCTCCGGTCTCCACCCCCCATATATATGTATAAGCTTTAATATTTCTCACCAACTCTCTAGCATATTGAATTGTATTGGTCACAAAATGTGGTTTAGCTTCTCCGTTAGTAGCTCCACTAGAGCAAAAAAGTGCACTGTCGTTGGAGCATAAATTTTGTGAAAAGGAAACATGGGGAAGAAAAAATGAATAAGAAAGAGAGATGTACACATCAAGCTCCTGTTCGTTGGGTTTCTTTTGTGGTAATTAAGTCAGCCATTTTTTAATCGATTTCATGAATATTCAAGAGTTCTCAACTGAATTTAAAATAGATTTGGTGAACCAGGATAGAGGTAAGACTAATCCTTGAGATACCGAAATTTATTTAATGAATTCACCTCTCCTAATACATTCTTTGACACATACGTACAAACCTTAATCAAATTCTTATTATATACCTAAAAGATAAAATTATAAATATATCATAATTTTATCGGTAATTTTGCTTTTAATCTATCAAAATCAAACGTAGTAACTATTTATATCAACTCACACATCTTGCTTAATCAAATGAATTTGTCCCTTTATATCTCTTTCCTTCTTTAAAATAAGATAATATTTTGTCATAAAATATAATCATATTATGGAAAATAGAAAGAGGAAGAGAGAAATAACTAGAAGTCGTGGAAAACAAATGATAGGGAAACGTGTAGAAGCTATTTTGTGCTATTCTTCTCTTTTTAAATAGGGATAGGATCCTTAATGAGAATTTGGGTTTGGTATCAATTGGGGCTCACTTTTGCGTGATTGTGTTGGCCTCGGGTATCAAATGGGGCTCACTATATCTTCCTCTCATAGAGGGAGTCCCCATTTGATTCTCCATGATTTCTTTATTAAGTGTTTCAACATTTCTCTTAAAAATAATCACACTACACCTGCATGATTTGTTTGACGATAAACTTTATGCCCTAACACATGGTGCTTAGGATCATCATTCTCTACAATTTTTTTTATAATATCATGAGAAGATACTTCAACCAATATCAATGATTAATTTACAAAACTGCGTCTACTGCAATTTGCTGAAAACTCAGGACCTCCAATTCACTTTGACCAAACAAGAAAGTTTAAATTTCATGAGATAATAAATGGAAAATAAATATTTAAATTCTTGTATATTTTAAATATTTAAGAAATAAAATTATATTTAAAATCTTTAACTAGTCATATGTTTTGGGAAGACTAATTTATATATGTGGTCAAAATGTAAAGGTATAATTTGGAGAGTGGAGAAAGAAATTATGTACCTTAAAATTACATATAACTACGCTGTGGATTACCAATTCTACTTAACAGTGATGCAATTACTCTAATATACATCTCAGAAAACAAGACAGAATCTGCCAAGAAAAAAAAGAGAATATTTGTCCTATGGCTATGGAAAGCCACAGGCAACTGCAAGCAAGAAAAGGTCAATGGTCCTGTAAAGGGTGTTCATAATTCATCATGCATATATCCCCAAATTTTGCAATATATTTGGACATCACCATCATGTGGTCCTGTTCAATTAATCACCTAAACCCAATTATGTGATTTTCCATCAAAATATTGGAATTTCCGGATAACTTAATTGGATTTTGGTTTCCATAGCAAAAGATTAATATTGATTTTGTGTCACTTTCTGTAGAATGGAAAATTTGGGATCGATTATTGGGTATATAGTGACGATATCTACTTCTGTAATCTGATCTTATATCATAAATTCACAATGCATGTTGCCATTACTACTTACAAGCGAAAACGGAATCCTTCGTAAACCTTTATTTGAAAACAGAGCATGCTGCATGCCACGTCATTTAGAACATGTCATTTAGTATAATTTTGAATTTGGCTTAAATATGTTTTTAGTCACTCAAATTTAGGATAAATCTATTTTTGGTTCTTCAAATTTAAAATTATTGTTTTTAGTCCCTTGTAATTTCAAAAAAATCTTAATTTAATCCTTATAATCAAATTTTGTTAAGAAATTTATCAAACATTATTGCATAAAATCTACTTATTGGTGTTCCTATTAGTGAAAATATCACATTAAATCCGGTTGATATTGCATAATTGTCTTAATTAGTCACTTTCAAATATGTTATTGGTGACTTAAAGGACTAAAACAAGATTTTTAAAAATTACAGGGACTAAAAATAACAGTTTTAAATTTGAGAGACCAAAAATAAATTCATCTAAAATTTGAGGGACTAAAAACATATTTAAGCCTTTTGAGTTATATTTATAATTTGACTATTGTCGTAACCGGGATCACGACGGGATGACACTAACATTTTGGTTCGAGGATCATTAAGAGAACCTCCTGAACGACGCGGTCTTGGAAGCAGGGCTCGCTGGATTGGAGAATGTTTTGGAGTTTGCGTTTGGAGAGGGGCTTGGAAAGGGCGGTGTCGTTGGGGGCGCGGAGGAGAGGGTTTGTTTTGTCGTTCCAGATGAAACGGGCGCGGAGGACGGCGTTGCGGAGGGAGAGGAGGTCGCGGAGGAGGGGGGCGTGGACGGCGTTGCGCGGAGGGAAGGTGCCGGTGGCGTGGGCGCAGGAGCGTTGGTAGGCGAAGAGCCAGAGGTCGAAGTTTGAGAGGAAGCCGGTGAGGTTGGGGAAGGAGGTGGTTTTGGGGGAGGAGAAGGTTTTGACCCAGAGAGAGCTGCATATTTGGATTGGGTCTTGTTTCATTAGGGTGTGAGGGTCTTGCTGTTGCTGTTGCTGTTGCTGTTGCTGTTGGAGGGAATGGGTGGAGAGTGGGGAAGTGAAGAGGTGGAAGGAAGAGAGTGTGCTGCGCCTCAACG